ATGCCACTGTATCAAGCAGATCATCAAATTCACAATCCCATTAAACACTTCTGAAAGTCCTAGTAACGGAATCGTTGCAACATTTGTTGGTGGATCTCCATGTTTGCTTTTGGTTTTCTTTTGGTTTTAAACAGTCACCAGAATTAATTATGCTTTTCTCTCATCTTTTAAGAGTAACAAATAAATTACTGGTACCCCCAAGTTCGCAGCGGTATCCTTCAGGATGGGTATATACTAAGTCTAAATGCTCAAGACCTTTCATGTGGCATGAAAGTGCACACAGAGAGCTTTCTACTGACCAAAAGATTGCTGCTGAATTGGTTCTTCCAGTCACACACAGTGGAGTAAATTAAAAAAAAAAAAAAAAAAAAAAAAAGCAATGTCATCAGATCCTGGGTTTCCACCTTTCTCCTCACTGCTTCGTTTAACTTGAGATAGGGGAGAGAAGGCTTCTTTAAAAAAAGTAACAGATTTAGCTAGATGAAAAGAAGCCAAGCATATCAGAAAAAAAAAAAAAAAAAAAAAAAGAGCAATGTCATCAGATCCTGGGTTTCCACCTTTCTCCTCACTGCTTCGTTTAACTTGAGAGTTTGCCTCTGAATTCAACAGAATAGCACCGAAAAAATAAAAGAGATTTTAGCTGACCTAATTTAATGACTAATGTGGTAACTCTTTAACAAAAGAGTTGGGTTTTGAATATTTTTGGGGGGTTTCTTTTTAATACCAAGGGACTAGAGTGGATGTAAAGTATTTGCATTTCATAAATAGATTTTCCATAGTCCCCACAGGAAGTGATTAAGATGGAAAGGCTGGATTACTATGAAAATTGTAAATACCACCTGAAGAGAGATGGCTAAAAGCAGCTGACAAGGGGACATAGTTCAGACGGGTACTTTGTCACTGAAAGGTGATAGAGTTCTCTACAAACGAGTAGTAGCACAAGACTGAAATTTCAGCTGGCTGAAAACTTGGAACAAGAAATGCAGGACACAAATTTATCCGTGGCACAAAGAAACAAAACTTGAGCACAAATTTGACGTGGCTTTGGTACCACTGACCAAAATATGCTGTAAAAAAAAGAAATCCTTAAAGGCTTATCAGTTAGAGATTACAAAAAAAAGATGACAGAGGTGTATTATGTTACAGCACAACCACAAGCCAGTAGAGAAGGAAATACACTTTACTGAGCGCAGTAATTCCAACAGAGCACAGCTGGCATCATAAAGAACTGTCAGGATGTCACCTGGACACAAAATACACACCGTGTGCAAGAGGAATTCAGCTGAAAGAGGGTGACAGCAGGACCACCGAGATCAGGAGGGGAAGGAGAATCAGAATCTCCTGTGCAAGGGCAGCCTGCAGAAACATGTTGGTTTAGTTTAGCAGGGAAAAACCAAAAGGGGGAATTACTGCTCTCTAAATGTTCCTTCATCTGGGGAGCAGGAACACCAGCGACAGAAACATATTACCTGAAGTGAAATATTAGGCAGGTGCTATCAGCTCACCATGAATAAATTGTCTCATTTCTACAAGACAGTGGCATAGAGCCAAACGAACAAATGAGATGCTGGGGAAGCTTTCTAATAAGCACAGGAAGAAAGCAGCCTGTTTCCAAAGCAGTCCTTGATCAACTTTTTAAGACTGCTTTGTAACATCATTAATTGCTGCGGCTGGGGAAGATGTGATGACTCAGGAGGTCAAGCAAAAACATCTGAAATCGAAAAAGTATGAGCTAATGGCGAGAAAGGCAGGAAGAGGGGCACGCAACTAACCCAACGTGCACAGCTACAGCCACGCAAACAGAGCATCTGCGTGCTAGATACAAAAAGGAGCTTATAATTTCTGCTGTAATTGATTTTTCCTGTTTGTATTCATGATTGTTCTGCTGTTAAAATAACTACTGTTTTTAAATCGTAATTGCTAAAGGAATGCATCTGTTATAAACACCGAACAGATTATATATGTTAGAATACAGATTTTGTTACTGCAAATTAGAACTACTCTACCAGTCCCAGGCTCGCCAAAGTACCTCTCTGCAATGATCTAAGTACAGAACATTGTTTTCTATTTAGCTGCAAGAACTCAAAGTAATTGTTTTTATAAGCATTGTCTCATTAGCTGGTGGCATTTGTTGAGTAACCAGTACCCCACCCTGGCTTAAATTAATTTCCATATAATTTTTTCTCTACATAGTATTATGGAGTTTATGCAAAGTACCTTGAAGATATTAGAGGCACTTTTAGCTAAATTTACCCTTGCCTGAACATGGGGAAAAATAAAAAAATCAGTTCATGCTCAAGGTTTAGCATCAGGCTGCCACATATTTCTCAAGCAACAGCATTTCTGAACTTTTCCCCCCAGAAAAGTAACAATACTCTTGGCTGTACACACTGAATCTGTATTCACTGAAAAGCAAAGCTCCTCTGTTCAGACGATGTAAGAGAACATCATTGTTAAGGATATAAACAAGTTTGGGTTCTGTACTAAATGAAACTGCATGAGCCAGCACAAAAAAAAACCAACCCAGACAACAACCACCTCCACAAAAAACCCAGGAGTAGTATCATGACATGGCCACACTAGCAGGGAACCTTGTAAACTCTTCTGAAACACTGGTTTAGACAGAAAACATGACATTTCAAGAATCATAGAATGGTTAGAGTTGGAAGGGACCTTAAAGATCACAGAGTTCCAACCCCCTGCCCTGGGCAGGGACACCTCCCACCAGCCCAGGTTGCTCAAAGCCCCCTCCAACCTGGCCTCGAACACTAAGTTAACGCACTAAAGCAAAGTCTGTAAAACCCTGACACTGTCTGAATACTGTGTCCAAAGTTGTGGATGTTTGGAGAAGATATATTGCCAAGTCATCCACAGGATTTAGACCTGACTTTAAAATATCCTGTATTTTCAGGTCTTCTCCATTTCCTAGTGACACAAGTCTTCATAGAATTACTGCAAACGCTCAATATAAGAAGTAAATAAGAAGTCAAACTGGTGAAAAGCAATTTAGAAAACAAAAAGCTATTTAATTAGTGGAGTTTCTGCTGCCACTGCTATGTGTTGGTGATGCTCGCAGTATCTCCTGACACAGAAGTCAAGGAGTTGCACAGATTCTCTCCTACCACACGACCCCATCAGGCAAAACACAGGTTTATGTACAACAGCTCATTAACTACACGTCCGCAGCCTTCCTAAGGAAGGGATTCGCTGTACATCTGCAGTCACACCACCATTAACGAATGAGAGTCTACACAGAGCTCTGGCAAAGCACCTTTCCCTTCCTCAAATCACCTGTAACGAAAAGGTACACTCTGTGTACTTTCTGAGATAGCGACGTTAATTAATGTGGAAGTCTGGCATATAAGAAGTAGAAAGGGACAAAACCCGAAACCTGAGAAATCTGTTTTCCTATTTTGAAACATCAAGCTGTCTACCACTGCACCTCCTGGGTCATCTGCGCCGTGTGTTTTGCAAACTTCAGCATCCTTCACGTATAACTAGACATCAGCATTCAACTGAACTTCCTAACGTTATTTTTGATCAAAGATGTCTTTTTTTTTTTTTTGGATGAACGTTATGATGTTGCCTGCGCGAGTACAAACAAGATCACAGTAAGAAGCATCGCTTTATATTTTCAGCCTACCTCTTTTCACAACCCCAGAAGGAATACGGCCAAGTTGAGTTCCATCATCCTGCTTCCCTCCCCTCCCTCCCAATCCCCACTGCTCCCCAGCATCCACCTCCTGCCGTGCTGCTCAACACGCCGGGGGACAGCCCGCTGCCACCCAGCCTCCCCTCCCTCAAATCCAGCCTGGTGCTGCTCAGAGAGCGTTTGACAGCCATCGCATGCCCAACGTTGCAAAGCCTAATGGTCCCACTCCTCTGCTGTCCTCAATGATTAAAAAGCCAGCTAATTGTATCCAAGCATAGATCAAGTGTCTGAAATACGAGCAGCTCAAGCACATCACTTCAGCGTCAAGAATGACAGCTGTAATGACAGCGTATAAAAATGGATAAAATGAAATTAGCTTTTCTTGTATATTACAGACATCAAATACAATGGAGGGTTGAGCTGGGGGATGGAAGGGAATAAAAGGACATTTGGAGAACAACTAATAGAGCAAGAAAAATAAAATTTTTACTTGGCACCAAAAAACCTAGCAAAATTCAAGTAAGAGCAAGGACTTCTCATGAAAGCAAAACTACTGTACTTCGTAACTGCCAAAACAGAGTTTTCTAAAAGAAAATTCAGCTGCAAAAATAAGTCGTAAGTATTACATCTACTATTACAGCTTACCTACGTAGGTGTGTCTGTAATGAAGTTGCTTATTGTAAGCGGCATTCTCAAACTGTACTCAGTTTTTACTTATCCCCCTCGTTATTCTTAAGAGTATTTGAGAACAAGTCTGTCAAACTCAGCTCTTCAACTTTTATGAATTGTTCAAAAGAATAAATCATGATCAGTTATCTGAATCTGTAATTTTTTATTACTCTAGATAATTGTCAGAATGCATTTCTGGTATCTTTCAAAGTCAAAGATGCTGTGAGGATGAACGTGAGATACTGGTGCCATGTTTCAGGATTTCTGAAGTTTTTCTACTCTAGAAGACCCTCATTGTGGATCTTTGGTCAGATATGTACACAGTTCTCTCTCAAACTGACCATTACCAGCTGTAACTGACCATTTACAAATAAAGCAAGGTAAAGTTCCATGAATAGCAAGAAACAAATTTTAATGCAAGAGACCAATACTGAATAATCGTAACTCAAGATTTTATCTTGCCTGGTACATCAACAGCTTGTAAAATATTATCATCAGCAGAAGCTTAAAATCATGGAAAGTACCCAGATCTTTCTTTATTGCAATCTCCCTTTCCTACCAAGTATCGAACTACTTTTTCAAGTTATAATTCCAGGGACAAGGAGGATGGGGGAATAAACTGAAATTACAGACTCATCCTACTCCTCCCCCAGCTACGCCCCCACGGCAAAAGCCTTACCTTCATCATTCTGGGCCGAACCGCCTGCTAAGATGGTAGCAACTGCAGTTCCTAGAGCTAACCATCTCCAGACACAAAACCGCTGCAACATCTTCTGTCAAACTTCACTCAATGCAGATCTGAAAAAGAAAGATTTGATACGCGCGTGAGTCGAGCAACCTACACAAAGGTGAGCCATTACAAACTATTCCACAGGTCACTGTGGCACTACATATGGCACGTACAGTCTGTAAGTGTGCAATGCTGCTTCTGTTAAAACAAGCTAGATTAATCCCATTAGCATCAATTCATACATATGGACTCATTAATTTGATAACCATGTATGCAGAGGCCTCCAAGTAAAGAAAATGCAAGTTTCTTGCTTAAATCAGGTCTCATTTCCATAAAACAAAGTATTTATTTATTTTCCTGCCTTAGCCTTAAGCTTTAAAGCACTTTAAGTGACTGTATCAGAGAAATTCTGCTTATTAGAAGTAGTGTTCAGCTGCAAAAGTCAGCAGGGACCTGGTTTCAAGGACATCGTCCAGCAGAACCTCTCCCAGAAAGAACATGAGTGAACCCCATCGATAGCCTTCTTTAATGAAACAGACTGTTGGTTCATGCCCAGCAAAGGAGGAAAAACAAACAAAAAACCCCACATGCACCAAAAATGCCATGAGAATAAACTGGCCAAGACAGGTCTGGATGAAATCCAGAGCATATTTAGAGTGAGTAACATTAGAAAGTTATCTAAAGCTCTGTTTTATTGCTGCAATAAAAAGAATTAGCATATTTCTGTAGCACAGAATGGAATTACTGAAAAATATTCCTTCACATTTAAAAACATTGTGACAAACACAATGGACTTCCTAGCAACAGAAGCATGAAATGGAGAGAGACTTACAGCAGTGTAAAAACAAGCTATTGTATAAAAAGGGTTTAAGTGCTGTCAATTTCCCCAAGCAAAGCACTTGACTGGGATTTCATTGCCACTTTCTGTTTATAACTTTCTATCCTGGTTAGAAAACTGCTGCATTTCATTCCAAGTCAAACAAACAGACTATTAGCCCCACTTAACAGCCTCAGCATTAACACTATCTGATCCCCCATCAGCGAGACATTGTTTGAGATGTGCTAGCGTTTCCCTTCTGCAAACCCAGCTTCTAGAAAACCCAAACACATGGACAGCATCTACTTCACACAACTCACACAAAGAAAGTATCACTTCAAATGTCCTTTCAGATCCCTCTCGAGTTATACAGGAAGAGGTGGTAGTTGCATTAAGTATTGAGAAAGGTCTTGGCTTGTCCAAAGACCTGAATTTATTCCAAATGATGCCACCTTGCAAAATATTTTTGGTTAATACAAAGGAAACTGCTCTGATATAAACCATTCCTTTCAATTAAAGAAAAAACAGGGGAGGAGAGGACAGGGAGAAAGCAAAGAGAACCAAAATGAGTACACATTAAGAGTTTTGGAGGAAAAGTTACCTTTTTCAAATGGATAAGGAAAGCAAGCAGGGGAATTTAATAAAGCAGATTGAGTGGCCCACATTTACTTAAATATTTAAAGTTCCCAGGTGGTTGACACTGTATATAATTTATCCTGCTTCCCAGGGCAACTCACACAGGTGGGATCTACGAGGCTCCCTTACACAGCAAGCAAAGGTCCTTTTGTCTTTCCAAAGACATGGATCACAGTTGACTTTTTGCTTTCCAGTAGATTTTAATACCAACATTCGCTATTCCAAACAGTGCCATTTCTAATATCTAATCTAAATCTCCCCTGCCCCAACTTCAGACCATTTCCTCTGGTCTTGTCGTTCATCCTTTGGGAGAAGAGGCCAACACCTGCCTCTCTACACCCTCCTTTCAGGGAGCTGTAGAGGGCAATGAGGTCTCCCCTCAGCCTCCTCTTCTCCAAACTCAACATGCCCAGTTCCCTCAGCCTCTCCTCATAGGACTTGTTCTCCAGGCCCCTCCCCAGCTTGGTGGCTCTCCTCTGGACACGCTCCAGCACTTCAATGTCTTTCCTGTAGTCAAAATCAAGAGCCATGTATGGTTGGATTCAGACTGGGTTTGCAGCAAGCCAGAGGCTCTTGGCTTATTCGGAACAGGACTGACCTATTCACACACATGATGTTGTATGAAAAGGGGAATATAGCGGTGCCACACCGCATACACAGTCACACAGCAACAGCTTAAGTGTTTTCTTACCATTAACAGCAAATCTGAAAACAAGGTTGAGGCAAACACTCTATCGGGGCTTCAAACGCCGAGAAAGTGCATACTTAGGAAGAAATTATTAAGTACATATTAACTCAGTAGACATGAAAAAAAATATTTGCCATTTAATATGTATGTCAAAAACAATAGCTCCTGTGAAACCATGATGGTCGGATGAATAATACCCCATAGAAGAAAACAATTACATTCCCATTTATATATACAACCAGCCAGAACTCCTTCAAGTATCAGAAGTTACACACTTTGCTTAGTGGTGCTGCTCTTTAGAGATTACAATTGTGATAAAATACCAAGCACATAATAAACTGTTTTTAAAAGTATATGGTACTGAATTGTTTAAACACAGGAAAAATTATAGCGGATAGTTTTATTATGAGGTGTTACTGATCAGATGAGCTCTTTTAAAGATCGAAGACACAAAACCAGGCAGCCAGAAGTACAAATGCTTATTTTTGAGAGAACTGGTGCCATAGTAAATCAGAAGCGTCAGTAGAAACGGGAAAAAAGCCTCTTACAGAAGCCAATTTGAATTTGCTTTACAGTCTGACGGTGTTCCTGGCGTGGTTAAAGCCACAGTCCTTGAAACTATACGTCCCAAATGCTTTATTATTGTTGCTGAAATAATTATGTTGAACTGTCACCATAAGAAAAAAAAAAAAACCAACCCACTTCTAAAATATTATCTAAACACACAGACAAAAAACCCTCAATGTTACTGATCAGATGAGCTCTTTTAAAGATCGAAGACACAAAACCAGGCAGCCAGAAGTACAAATGCTTATTTTTGAGAGAACTGGTGCCATAGTAAATCAGAAGCGTCAGTAGAAACGGGTCAACAGCTTGTAAAATATTATCATCAGCAGAAGCTTAAAATCATGGAAAGTACCCAGATCTTTCTTTATTGCAATCTCCCTTTCCTACCAAGTATCGAACTACTTTTTCAAGTTATAATTCCAGGGACAAGGAGGATGGGGGAATAAACTGAAATTACAGACTCATCCTACTCCTCCCCCAGCTACGCCCCCACGGCAAAAGCCTTACCTTCATCATTCTGGGCCGAACCGCCTGCTAAGATGGTAGCAACTGCAGTTCCTAGAGCTAACCATCTCCAGACACAAAACCGCTGCAACATCTTCTGTCAAACTTCACTCAATGCAGATCTGAAAAAGAAAGATTTGATACGCGCGTGAGTCGAGCGACCTACACGAAGGTGAGCGATTACAAACTATTCCACAGGTCACTGTGGCACTACATATGGCACGTACAGTCTGTAAGTGTGCAATGCTGCTTCTGTTAAAACAAGCTAGATTAATCCCATTAGCATCAATTCATACATATGGACTCATTAATTTGATAACCATGTATGCAGAGGCCTCCAAGTAAAGAAAATGCAAGTTTCTTGCTTAAATCAGGTCTCATTTCCATAAAACAAAGTATTTATTTATTTTCCTGCCTTAGCCTTAAGCTTTAAAGCACTTTAAGTGACTGTATCAGAGAAATTCTGCTTATTAGAAGTAGTGTTCAGCTGCAAAAGTCAGCAGGGACCTGGTTTCAAGGACATCGTCCAGCAGAACCTCTCCCAGAAAGAACATGAGTGAACCCCATCGATAGCCTTCTTTAATGAAACAGACTGTTGGTTCATGCCCAGCAAAGGAGGAAAAACAAACAAAAAACCCCACATGCACCAAAAATGCCATGAGAATAAACTGGCCAAGACAGGTCTGGATGAAATCCAGAGCATATTTAGAGTGAGTAACATTAGAAAGTTATCTAAAGCTCTGTTTTATTGCTGCAATAAAAAGAATTAGCATATTTCTGTAGCACAGAATGGAATTACTGAAAAATATTCCTTCACATTTAAAAACATTGTGACAAACACAATGGACTTCCTAGCAACAGAAGCATGAAATGGAGAGAGACTTACAGCAGTGTAAAAACAAGCTATTGTATAAAAAGGGTTTAAGTGCTGTCAATTTCCCCAAGCAAAGCACTTGACTGGGATTTCATTGCCACTTTCTGTTTATAACTTTCTATCCTGGTTAGAAAACTGCTGCATTTCATTCCAAGTCAAACAAACAGACTATTAGCCCCACTTAACAGCCTCAGCATTAACACTATCTGATCCCCCATCAGCGAGACATTGTTTGAGATGTGCTAGCGTTTCCCTTCTGCAAACCCAGCTTCTAGAAAACCCAAACACATGGACAGCATCTACTTCACACAACTCACACAAAGAAAGTATCACTTCAAATGTCCTTTCAGATCCCTCTCGAGTTATACAGGAAGAGGTGGTAGTTGCATTAAGTATTGAGAAAGGTCTTGGCTTGTCCAAAGACCTGAATTTATTCCAAATGATGCCACCTTGCAAAATATTTTTGGTTAATACAAAGGAAACTGCTCTGATATAAACCATTCCTTTCAATTAAAGAAAAAACAGGGGAGGAGAGGACAGGGAGAAAGCAAAGAGAACCAAAATGAGTACACATTAAGAGTTTTGGAGGAAAAGTTACCTTTTTCAAATGGATAAGGAAAGCAAGCAGGGGAATTTAATAAAGCAGATTGAGTGGCCCACATTTACTTAAATATTTAAAGTTCCCAGGTGGTTGACACTGTATATAATTTATCCTGCTTCCCAGGGCAACTCACACAGGTGGGATCTACGAGGCTCCCTTACACAGCAAGCAAAGGTCCTTTTGTCTTTCCAAAGACATGGATCACAGTTGACTTTTTGCTTTCCAGTAGATTTTAATACCAACATTCGCTATTCCAAACAGTGCCACCAAATAAAGGGGTGGGGGAAGCAATAAAACTGTTTAAAATCCTACACAACACACACTGCTCCACTTCTCATTCCGAGGTTAAAGATGAAGAGAGGCTTTTCCAATTTCCAGCTTCATTCAAGTAGGACTTTTCCCACCCTGCTCGGCAGCAGGGGGTCACTGCAGGCAGGCAGTTGCAATAGGCAGCAATTTCAGGAAGAACTTAAACGTTATACATCAAAACAAGGAAGCAGCCTGCATCTAATTGAAGCAGCAGTGCAAATCTTGTGGGACTGCTCATTTTCATTTCAGCTAGACAAACGTCACTCTTGACAAAACAGACTCAAGGTTACACAAATGAATTAATTCAAGTCATGCAATAGCATCTGTGAACCATCCTAAAGCACCCACCTTCCTCCCCTCTCCTCCTCTTCCACTGGCACTTCTACAACAGTTTCTGCCCGAACTCCAGCAGAGAGCACTCAAATGAGAATTTCAGACCCCTTCCTAAAGGGTCTGTTTTTCTATACACGTGAGGAGAACAGAGTTGTTAGCAAAGATCCCACTAGCCGTAAGAAAAAACTATTAAAAAACTTGCTACGCAGCTATGAAAAGGACGGTTCAAGCCCATCAAGTCTGTTACCAACAACTTGACAGGTATCTTACCCATAGAGAAAAAGAACTAGAAAAAGAGCTAGAGAAAAGCTAGTTCTTTCTTGAGGAAAAATAAATAAATCCCTTCCTTGAGGGAGCCATCAGTTTGCCACTGTTGCTCAAAAGTGGCTTTTTCCTCCCTTCTACTTACCAAAATGCTAATTTGATTACTGTCATCTAAATTTCTACTTAGCCAATTCAGAAGTCATTCTGGATTTTGCATCTGCAACTTGAAAGAACAGAAATTATTTCCATAATATATTCCAGGTGACTACGTTTAAATAAAGGCTGAGCCACATTGCCCAAATAACCACGAATATTCTGTGATTCCCTGAAATGGATCCAGTTTAATCCAATGTTATCGTTAGACTTTGTCTGACTTCCTAGGAACTTCTAAGGATGCGAATTTCTCAGTATTTCACCAGTTTTTCCACCCACATTAAGAGGAGATCCTTAAAGAATTGGCCTCTGATGCTTCTTGAAGTTTAAGCAGACGGTGCTATTACATGAGGTGGCATTTGCTGTCAAGTACTTCCAAACTCTTGCACCTCAAAAACAGAAAAAAGTGGTTCAGGAGACTACCTCAATTTCTTTAGGTCAGTCTAAGAAAGATCATACACACTTCAGAGGCCTCTGATATTTCATTTTACAACCTTAGAAGAAAAAATAATCCAGATTTCCAATCACGATGTTCTATTTTAGAAAGTTATTCAAAACTCAGCTGACATACTTGAGTTGAGTCTACTCTGGCGAGGTTTTAGGACAGATTCTTGGCAGATTTATTTTTGATTTTGATGAAATGTCAAGTAAATCACGAGGATAGCAACACTGCTGCTCTAAGAATAGGCATCTCTATATGCAACTGTAATATTTGCCCCCTTTCTCCTCTAATTTGTACCAGAAAAAAATATTATGGAGTGTTGAAACCAAGAATATTCTTAATTAAACAGATTCTGCTAACTTAGAAATAGCTCAAAACAAACCACAAGCTACTACAAAGCCCCCAAAGGTAGACAAACTGTAAGAAATACAGTGTTGAACTCTAGATGCAGTCTGTCAGGGCAAAGGACAATTATGAATTGATGCTAGATGGAAGATCTGTAAAGTAAGAACATCTAATATGTCTACAAGACTCAGTATTTTCCTGGAAAATATTCCGCTGCAGCAGAATTTTGGAAGTTTGATGTTACCGTGGGCAACTAGAAGTTATGCACTCAAAGCACAAAAAACTTGAAATGAAAAAATAAAAGAATGAAAGTTTTGGGGAATTTCACTGCCTGGCATGTCTGCGTTTAAAAGAAGAAAAAAAAAAAAAA